CTCTGTCACCAGTCCATGTTTGACCAGCACTGTCCCATTGTCATTGCTGATGTGTTTTTGATAATCGAAAGTGACAACTCCAGCCCAAAAGCCCCAAAAGTGGCTGAAAATCCTAAATGTTTTTGAGTGAAATTTTTCACAGCAATATGGAACATGGTCAACCTGAGAAGACTCAAATATCCTTCCTTTGGTTTGCTTTGAATGGACAGGGATTTATTGATTTTACTCCCTTAAAATTAATGGCTGAGTGAATGCACGTATGACTGGTAATTTTATCATCAGCTACCATCCTGCTTAGCTTTTAATAAAATAATGTTGAATGATCCTACAATCAGGCTTTCTATTGTCTCCAAACATGTAAATACTGACAAAAGCCTAGAGTCAATATGCTGTTTATTACATTTCTACATCTTATGGCACTTTCTGCTTGCAGAGTATTACTTGAAACCAAAAATACTCTTATTTACTATTATCTGTACAGTGGTAGCATTTGGAGGTCATGCAGCCTCATCTCATCAGCAGGTTGGCTGCTATGTGTCTGGCCATATTCAACCCTGGTTGTAGCTTTGCCTCACTGTGAAACCCCTGTACAAAGGTGCTCAGGACTGTTTCCAGGCTATGCCTTGCTGCTTTCTCAGTGCTCATTAGAGCTCAGATTGCCCCTTTCTCATTGATATCCAATGTTTTAATGGAAACATCTGCTGATGCATCCTGTATTACATGCATACCAGGGGAATGACCATAGCTTTGGTTTTGGGAGGTACTGAGAGCAACCAGCACTTTACAGGATTGGCAGTAATAGTAGCAAAACTAAAACCCAGGTCATTTTACTCCCGCTCACCTGCAGCAATTACAGGACACTTCAATTGTGATCTCTTATACATAAATCTTATGTTGCCCATCCTACTCTGGTACCTACTCTGCTTGTGTAAATACATTTTGCTCTAGAAACTGATGAATATCAGCATTTTGTGGATGAAATTTAAGCAATAATGTTGAAAGTAGAGGCATAAATATTTATGACAGCTTTAATTTGTAAAGTTTATTGAGTGAGGTTTTTTATTTATTGTGACTGATGTCACATCATAGGAATTAATTTGATTTCTCCTGAGTTGTTGTGGATGCCTACTACTACTATTGATGAGTTGATTAAAAAAGAACTTGTTTTTCCTCAATATGCAAGATCTTGATGATGAACACCCATTGGCTAAAGCAAAATAATACATCTTTAAAATATATATAAAACTAAAATTCATAAATGTTATGTAAGGTTTGCTGAAATTTGTGTGTATCTAGCTGATTATTAGCATTAGTCAGAGGAAAAATATCATTAGATTGTTTCAGTTACATTCAGAAGCAAATCAGTCTCAGGGTTTTCATCTACTGGAAAGAAAAACACCAGGGCAGCCATGGCTTTCAGAGGCTATTCTAGCTAAAAGGAGATGGAATATACCTCAGAGAAGAACAATGATATTCAATCGTAAAGTGAATCTATTTGATTAATAGTAGACAACCATATGAGACTGCTTTGATAGCTCTTTTAATTTCAGACATAGCCTTGTTTTCCTGACACACATAACACAACACAGCAGTAAGTAACTCTGTCTTGCTCCTCCTTGCACAAAGTTTTGGTCACTGAGGCTGTGGATGTAATTTTAGTTATCACACTGATTAGTTTCTAAAGAATCTGCAGTCTGTAAAGATGGTAACAGGGCATTTCCCTCCTCTGACTTGCATGAAGTAATTTAGTTTTTCTACTTAGGTGTTCATGCTGTGCTTTTGTTTGGAGAAATGTAAATTTCATTAAGTGCCTTCAGGGCCTCCCAGAATAAGATTAAATAAATGAAAAAATGTTTTTAACATAGAAAATAGCACAACTGGGAGGGATAAATGAAGAGGAGACAAATGCGTAAATGACAGTTGACTTCCTATAGAAGCAAATACACTTGGGCTCTAGGTTGGTTACCGTCTTAGCTGTAGATGGCAAGTTTAAATACTATAATTATTTCCCAAGTTAAGAACAGAGATGTATTACAGAAACTCAAATATCCTGAAGTGAGGTTTAAGAGATAAATTCTGGCCTTATAATCCTAACATGGGACATAGCGTGAAAAAAAAAAAAAACAACACAAAAACCAAACAAACGAAAAACAACAAAACAAAAACAAACTAAAAACCCAAAACAAAACAAAAAACACACATGCACACACAAAAAAAACAACACCAAAAAACAGGGAAAAGAAGCAGAATTTTTGTGTTTTAAGATTTTGCAGACCTTTGTCAACATGCAGGCTTTCTCTGCTGCCGTCTTTATATGCCCACCTATATCTTTGTAGCCCATGCAATGGCAAGAAGTACAGGAAAGTAAGACTCTGCTATAAGGCAATGGCAAAATTGGTTTGAAATGCGTGTATCACTAGCACAGTTAATTTTTTGTACATGGATGCTGTATAGCTTGTTCTGGCTTTAGACCCCTGTCCTTCCACCAAGTGGAAAAGTGTTATTTCAAGTATATATCAACATGCAAAATTAGCAGAAGTATTTGTAAATTTAAGAAAAATGTAAAACCAATTATTATTCTGCTATCAGCTAATAACCTACTGCACTTTAATGAATAGGAAGCCAGGAGGCAATATCACAACCTGCATGACAGAAAAAAAATTGATAAGAATTTATTTTGGGGAAAACTGTAATTCCTTTGCTTTAAATCAGGGGATAACTTTAAATTTCGTAAAGCAGTGTCTCTGGTATTTGTACAAAGATTTATGTCAAAGTAATCAAGCAAGCTCATCGGATTCCAGCCCCCACGGGGTTATTGATATAGCCTGCCAAAAGTACACTGCTATGGTTTAGAGCCACTATGTGCATTTAATACTCATACTTTTGTGAAGCTACTTGACATGAAAATAGTTATGTTAGTCCATTTGACATGGCACAGTTGATGGATTGAGACAACCAGTCTTCTTTCAGATAAACTAGCAAACAACTAGAAAGTGGTAAAGCTGGAGACCTTGGTCATTACTGAGCTGGGCTTAATGACAATAAATTACCTTGCAGAAAAGGCTCCACTGTATGCCTCACATTGAATGCTTGTGAATTTTTAGAACTGATTCCCATACTTTTTGGTTTCACAGGAGAGCAAAAATAATAATTACATTTATACATTCAATATTGTATATTTGTATATTTTCTAGGAATTCATTATTGATGCACAATAACAACTAATTTGTCAATGTTAACAAATTTATATAGATTAATAGTTACTTCAGCAGAAATACTAAAAAAATCCTTCCTTTATCTGTGATGTTACTTGCTGAGGTCTTTGCATCCATTACACTAGACTGTGTCTAAAACTTAAGAGGTTGACTAAATAGCAGTCTTTGACATTTTCTTACTTCCAAAAGTCAAATATTTCACAGTTCATGTAAACAGGGACATGAATTTACTTTGTACTGATAGTCAGGTCTACAGGCCAAGAAACCCAGCATCTTGCTACTATGTATTCACACATGTAGGTGCGTAAAAGTTGTTTAGACACAGCTCGTAACTCAGTACCACGCAGCTGTCTGCTCACTGCCCCCTTTCTTCCCATCCAGGCAGGATGGGGAGGAGACTTGAAAGAATATAAACCCCACAAACTGAGATAAAAACAGTCCAATAAGCAAAATAAATTAAAATATAGTGAACTGATGGACAGGGGTAGAACAGTTGACGTCATCTACCTGGACTTGTACAAAGCATTGGGCACTGTCCTGCACAACATCCTTGTCTTTAAATTGGGGAAACATCAATTTCATAGGACCATTCGGTGGATAAAGAACTGGCTGGATGGCTTCATGCAAAGAGTTGTGGTAAGTGGCTCAGTGTCTGGGTGGAGACCAGTAATGAGTGGAGTCTCTCAGGGATCAGTGTTGGGACCAGTCTTGTTTAACATCTTCATCACTGACATGGACAGTGGGATTGAGTGCGCTCTCAGCAAGTTTGCCAATGACACCAAGCTGTGTGGTTCGGTTGATACGCTGGAGGGAAGGAATGCCATCCAGAGGGACCTTGCCACGCTTGTGAGGTGGGCTGATGGCAACCTCATGAAGTTTAACCATGACAAGTGCAAGGTCCTACACCTGGGTCAGAGCAATCCCATGCACAGCTACAGGCTGGGCAGAGAAGAGATTCAGAGCAGCCCTGCAGAGAAGGACTTGGGGGTGTTGGTCGATGAGAAAATGAACATGAGGCAGCTGTAGTGTGCGCTAACAGCCCAGAAAGCCCATCCTGGGCTGCAGCAAGAGGAGCATGACCAGCAGGTTGAGGGAGGTGATCCTGCCCCTCTACTCTGCTCTCATGAGACCTCACTTGGAGTATTGTGTGCAGTTCTGGTGTCCTCAACATAAAAAGGACATGGAACTCTAGGAACAAGTCCAGAGGAGGGCCACGAGTATGATCAGGGGACTGGAGCACCTCCCGTATGAGGACAGGCTGAGAAAGCTGAGGCTCTTTAGCTTGGAGAAAAAAAGACTGCGTGGAGACCTCATAGCAGCCTTCCAGTATCTGTGGGAGGCCTATAAGGATGCTGGTTTAAACCTAGCCACACAGCTCGTTCACTCACTCCCCTCCTTCCTCCCTCTTTCTTTCCTTCCCCCCCCTCCCTGCTCCCAGAGGGATGGGGAGGAGAATCGAAAGAATATAACTCCCACAGGTTGAGATAAGAACAGTCCAGTAACTAAGGTATAACACAAATCACTACTGCTACCACCTATGATAATAACAATAAGAGAAAATAACAAGGGAAGAGAATACGATACCACCCGCCAAAATGAGCCCAACCCCAAAAGAGAGCCCATGCTCTTCCAGGTAACTCCCAGTTACCTCCCCAGGCATGACGTGCTGTGGTACGGAATACCTCTTTGGCTACCTTGGGTCAGGTGTCCTGTCTCTGCTTCCTCCCCACCTCCTCTCCTCCCTGTCAGAGCATGAGACTCACAAAGACCTTGGTCAGAGTAAACATTACTTAGCAACAACTAAAAACATCAGTGTTATCAGCAATATTCCCAGGCTGAAAGTCAAAACACAGCGCTGCACCAGCTACTAAGAAGGAGAAAAATGACTGCTACTGCTAAACCCAGGACAACTCTTCACTGGGCATGTAGTGATAGGACAAGGGGTAACAGGTTAAAACTTAAACAAGCGGAAGTTTAGATTGGATATAAGGAAGATGTTCTTTACTGTGAGGGTGCTGAGGCACTGGAATGGGTTGCCCAAGGAAGTTGTGAACGCTGCATCCATGGCAGTGTTCAAGGCTGAGTTGGACAGAGCCTTGGGTGAGATGGTTTAGTGTGAGGTGTTACTCAGAAAACACAAGTAATGCACAACACAATTGCTTGGCAGCCTGACCTGAGCAGTAATCTGGGCCTTTCGCGTAACTCTCCCTATTTTCTCTACTGGGTATGACATGCTGTGGTATGGAGTACCCCTTTGGCTAGTTCGGGTCAGGTGTCCTGTCTCTTCTTCCTCCTGGCCTCTTGTGCCCTTACTCACTGGCAGAGCATGAGACTGAGAAGTCCTTCATCAGGGTAGGTGCTATTGAGCAACAAATAAAACATTGGCGTGTTATCAGCACTGGTCTCAGACTAAATTTAAAACACAGCACTGCACCAGCTACTGGAAAGAAAAATAACTGTTACAGCTGAAACCAGAACAGTAAATTAAGAGAGAGCAACAAATAAATGTGTCATTAAAAAAAGATAGTGGAATAGTAATTCCATGAAAAATCAGATTCTAAAATCAGATTGGCAGGGGGGTTTGAACTAGATGATCTTAAGGTCCTTTCCAACCCTAACTATTGTAGGATTCTATGATTCTAAGTAGTAATGTTTTTGTTGTGGTGGTAGAGAGTGAAAAACTGGCACCAGTCAAATGCCTTCAATTAGTTATGAAGGACACCTTGGAATAGAGATTTTAAACCAAATAACAAATTCATTTTTTGTAGCTTTTCTGCTAACAATAAGAAACATCTACCAAACTGAACAATTTTATGGATTTCAGTATTGGGAACCTGGCTCAGGAAAACTATCTTCCAGATGGAGCAATGGGAATAAATCAGTCAGTCCTCCTATAAGAGCTGACTGCTTGTACAGGGCTCGCTCTCTCTTGGCACTCATGTGAATCACTGGTACCCCTGGAACTGCACATGCATAAAATTATATTAGAAGTGAATCATTCGCAGCATGCAGCTATTAGCCCACCATCCTGAAACTGATAAACCATCTTTCTCAATCATCCCCTGGGTCTTCTCAACAGTGACGTGTTTAGTTTTGCTCCATTTTATTGTCTAATAACAAATCTTAAGGAAATAAAATCTTTTTTATAACATCTTTCATTGGAAGAGCCTTCAAATAGCTTAGCACACCAGAAAGGACATTGGGGAATGGGATGAAGAGGTCTCATCAGAGACATCAAGACAGATTCTTTCCTCCAAGTGCCGCCCGTGTCTCCCCCCGCAGAGCTGTCCCTCCATAGAGCTTGGGTGATTTTTGAAAATAAGAGTAAGGTTTTCCAAGCTAGCAAAACCTGAAAACTATGAATCTAAGACTTAAATTAATCAGACTGACAAATTACAGGACATTGTATTTATGACAGAACTCACATATGGCTAAGAGCTGCATTACCCTTTCTGTGTTGACCAGCCTTGGATAATAGGCTCAATAGTAGTTGGCATGAGCCTGGACTAGAAAGCATATCCCAGAAATCTGATAGCTAATCTGCCTTTTATGAACAAATCTATCCCTCCAAATGGCTGGATCAGGCATCTTCTCTCACTGTTCTGATTTATACTTCAGCAGAGCTTTGAGCTTTCAGGCCTCAAAGGTGCAACATAGGAAGAACTTGCCTGTTAGGCTTCCTCTGATCAGAAATACAATCAAAAAGCAATAGCAAAAAAGAATTATATTTGGATAAATGTACATAAAATTGGATGAGAAAGTATAACTACCCATATCCTGAGTTTTCTGTTTAAAACCTGAGGAGAGACTATAAAGGAGAATCTAAGGAAGCAGGAATAATGGGAATTGCAGTTTGTAAGCAGTTTAAAGCATGGCTGCACAACATAGTATGTATTATATGTTTGCTTTAGGATAGGAGTGTAGAAAACTGCAAAGCTCCTTTTTCTACAAGGAGATAAGCACTTCCAGGCTCTCTGTCAGTCTCTAACTATCAGAAGCTTATGCTAGAAGCTTCTCTATCAGTCATGCTTTAGCATCCTTGACTGCAGTCAAGGGCCTGATGTCAATGTCAACGTCAATGAAGAACTCTCATCATGTATTACCAAATGCATGATTAGTGCTCCTCAGAATCAGACCAAACTTATTTAAACACTGTCTCAATCAAAAAGCCTGTAACAATTGCACTTGTCATTACCATAATTGAGTTTTGGGGGGAAAAAAACAGAGCTTTTGTCCCTTTTGTGTATCTTTGCTGTCTCTGGACAAAGATAACCTGTGATTATTTGCCTTTGATATTATCAGACTTGAGCCAGTAGCAAATGCACTTCTTTTTTTCCTGGCACTTCATACGTGAACAGATCACAGAAAAAGGGAGGAACAGCTGCTATTTCTTCATTCTTGGTTAGTGATAGAAACTGCATTTCATTATAGGGCTGACTTGAAAAGCTGATCTTCTTAGAGTGTACGTTCCTAGGCTGACGTGTAGATGCACTTAGAAGCTGATACGGTATCAGAATTTTTCTTATCCTAGTGTTGATGTCATAGCATTTTATGTTACCATTCCCCTGAATAATTACCTAAGGTTATCACACAGTTCATAGTTTTCCTCTGATACTGATGAAACAGAGACACTGCTGGAAAGGCAATGCTAACCTTCAGGGACAAAATAAAAGCAGCAGCCATTGATCTCTGAGATGATAAAATTATAAAAGAAAGACTCCCACTTCTCTGAATTATAATGAACTTTCTTCCTTTACTCTGGTTTAGGTTTTTCTCAGCTCAGAATCTATTGCTGAATAAAAATTTGGCATTTTTGAGTTGCTGAAGCAGGTCCAGATAAGGGCAACAAAGCTGGTGAAGGGTCTGGAGAACAAGTCTTATGAGGAACAGCTGAGGGAACTGGGGTTGTTTAGTCTGGAGAACAGAAGGCTCAGGGGGGACACTATTACTCTCTACAACTACTTGAAGGGAGGTTGTAGTGAGGTGCAGGTCAATCTCTTCTTCCAAGTAACAAGAGATAGGACAAGAGGTAATGGCCTCAAGCTACACCAGGGGAGGTTTGGATTGGATATTAGGAAAAATTTCTTAACTGAGAGAGTAATCAGGCATTGGAACAGGCTTCCTAGGGAAGTGGTGGAGTCACCATCCCTGGAAGTGTTCAAAAACTGTGTATATGCGGCTCTCAGTGATATGGTTTAGTGGTGGTCTTGTCAGCCCTGGTGTAATGGTTGCCTTTTCCAACCTAGTCAATTATATGATTCTGTGCATACACATGCAACCCTGTAACTGCTCTGCCTAGCAAATCTTCTTGCATCTTTATAAAGACCAGAGGTCATTAGCCACAAGACAAAAATCTCCAAGAAAATAAGTTTTTGCGGTTCCAGTGCTTGCAGAACTGTATATTCTCCATAAGGTATATATGAATTTCATTGCCTTTAAAATCAAGGGCAGCTTTCTCATCTGGCTCTGCCTTACAGGATTTACTGCTGCCTATTTATGCATCCCAATTGCCAGAAGAAGCAGCAGTGCTTAGAAATGAGAAGACATCACTGGCTGGCCTTGGGCATTACCTGTGTATTTAATGTACCTCTCTGTAGGTATGTCCCAAACAAAGAGCTGACTTATAAATATTAAAAAAAATCCATGATAAATGTTAAATACTAACAGACAAATGTGATACATGTCAGTGTTTCATATCACGAATAAGCAGGGCATAAGTTGCTTGTCCTTTTATTAGCATGCAAATATATTAATGTTATACAAGTGACACTTAGGGAAATGAATAGTCTGTTATACTGTAAGGTTCTCATTAAAGATAACCTTTCCTGAGGTTGCTCAATGGTGAAGTTCCTAAGTGGATTAGTAGGAAGCATGAAGAGAATGAATGAACTTTGCAGTGACTACTTTTAATAAAGACTGCAGGTAATTAAAAAGACTAAAGGTATCTGGAGAATTCTAAGTCTAACAGTGTTCTAACGGTATTTTAAAAACATCTAACGGTGGAGTCAATTGAGCTTTACAAATCATTTAGCTGGTCTTGGCATTAAGAAGTAGCTTTTATGTGATGGAGGAATTAGAAGTTAAATATTGGCTCAATAAGACTTTTCTTATTTGCAGTGTTGGCCTTTATTAAATCATAAAATTTATGTAAATTGTAGTGCAGAAGCCTTTTCAGTATCGGAAAACGCTACCTTGAAAATTCATTAGCTTTCAGCCACTGTGTTCATGAAAAAGTACAAGACAAAATATGTGCTGAAGGCATCTGAGCACAAATCCAGGCCCTAAGAGGATATGCACGGTCAGGGTCAGGAAGGCATTGATACTTGCTGCCTTCCCCTGGAGCTCAGAGAGGAAAGACAGTATTTCTGGGGAAAGGACTATCTGTCCAAATAGCAGAGGGCTTTATCTTGGCTCTTAGTAGACTTGTGTTCTCTATATGTAAATGTTTAGAGTGAAGATTCAGGTTGGACAGATGAGGATCTGGATTTTCTAGTGCGGAATTTAATTCATTCAGCTGTTCTGTGCCTATGTCTTAGGAATGTAATGAAGTAACTCTTTCTGAGGAAGTCCCTAAGCTCCCTAGATACTCAAAAGGAGAAAGACAAATGGCTTTAAGTCCATCAGAAAAGGTCATGTACACCTAATTCATGTGCTCAAACTTAGATGAGTAAGAACTCCCTCTGGAGGTTTTCACAGTCACATACTGCTTTTTATTGACAACAAAGTGAATTTAAGCATTTCAGAAAGACTGATCTTCAAAGCCTTAAAATACAGCTCTGTTTGATGCATAATTGGGGTGAACTGCATCCAACCACGCACTTCAATACAAAAATTACAGTATCTTGGTGAGGACAAAACAGCCAATACAGATTCTAACCATTAAGATAAAGGGAGAAATTTTGATACAAAA